TTGAGATGAGTTCGACTCATTTTATTTCGTATGCACAGCACGATACTTTACACGTAAAAAATTGAATTATATAATAATTCTGTTTTCATCGTTAATCTTTAATTTGCTACCGAAAAATTTTGAGAGAATTAAACACTCATGAAGCCTTATTGGGTTATGGACAAAATATTAATCTTTACTAGGATGACCACGGCTACATTGTGTGTCCGTGAAGATCAGTTTGTTCGTCGTTAACCATTAGTTAGACGGGACGTCTACTCGGTCCTTTTCATTCCTGATTTGCTCTACGTCGGGAATCAAAGGTGAGTAGAATTCTTTTGCAAGCATGCTGAGTTTCATGAATCCCTATGCTAGGCCTACTCTTAATATTGGTGCGCCACATAAGATAAGTAGTTATAACATTAGTAACATTGCGTAACAATAGCGTAATAAAGTCAATCAGATTTCAACAATTTAATCCGAACAATTTGCATCATTTTATTCTAAATTTAAATGCAAAAATTCCTGATCAGTAATTTGAATACAAATCTTATTTACATGATGAAGTTGTGCATGAAAATGTACAATTGTCATCAATCTCAAGTTTGCGGATTAGTATGCAAGGATAGACCAATTGCATTAAAATCATCCTTTGACATCGACCAAAGTTAATTCAATTCAGTTCCAGTTTTCCATCATCATCATTAAATACAACAATTTAGACTCAAAAATACAGTCGTGCATTTAAAATTATGAAGGTTATCACAAAATGAGTGTTAGAGAGGAATAAATCGTAGTCAATTTGATTGTGATACCTTTCGCAATCTAGAAGCTAATCGAAGTAAATCTCAATACTGAATCAAGTTAATCAGGAGCTAATCTCAATTTTTGACTCATAGTAAGAGGCAATCTTAATCCAAAGTATGTTGAAGTCGTCCGCAATCCTATCAATCACAATTTTGAATGAAACTCATTCGGATTAAATTAACAAAAAGTTAAACTTGCATTATTAATACTCATGGAGTTGATTTGATGCATATTCAATGATTAATTGATTCCTTTGAAATGATCAAGTAATCGATGAGAGATCAATAATTGCCGTATCTTCATTACTACTGACTGTAAATTATCTTTATCATTGACGCCATTATCTCGCCACTGTATTGATGATGTTGTGTTTAGTTCAGGTTTTGATCATTTTTAAATGATTTTATGACTATGGTTCAATAAGATTCTCTTTAATTGGATTTATGGTTTGTCTGTTTCCAGAAAAGGCCTCAAAAGGTTTCAATTTCATCAGTCGGAATGTACCGGTATTTAGTCGGTAAAAAAATCTATTATTGCAGCATTTCTCGATGACTTTAGACAAGTTCCCATAATGTTTAGTTGGCTTCTCGAAATGTTTAGACAAAATTTTAAGCCGGTCGTAAAACCAGTTACTCTTCTCAGAATGTTTCGACAGTTCTCATATTGTTTAGTCAAGTTCTCAGAGCATTTAGAAAAACGGGTTTCTCAATCCGAATTGAAAAGGAAGAAGCAATCAGAGTTGGATTAGAAATATAAGTTTTTTAGTTTTTCAATTAAAATGTCCGACAATAGTACCAACAGAGGTTCCTATTAATAAAATTATTGATTATCATCGACCAAAAATTGTGAATGCCATATCAAACGGTTTGAGAACTCTTTTTGTCTAAATGCTCTGAGAACTTGACTAAACAATATGAGAACTGTCGAAACATTCTGAGAAGAGTAACTGGTTTTACGACCGGCTTAAAATTTTGTCTAAACATTTCGAGAAGCCGACTAAACATTATGGGAACTTGTCTAAAGTCATCGAGAAATGCTGTAGTAATACAAAAATAATCGATAATATAAAAATAATATAGAAAGGTTTAATAAATAAATAAATATAGAGACTTCATAGCATAAGCAACAGACTGGTACCTATATCGAGCTTTTCAAAACGTGTTGTCAAAATCTTTATTTAGTCGTTGAGATAGAAAAGTTTCAAGAATATTTTGATTATTTGGCTAAAAATAATCACATAATGGTTATGATCAATCGCGTTTATTTAAGCCAAACTGAGATCTGAATCATGTCTAGTTGAGGGAATATTTACAAAATGGTTATAACTTTATAACATAAGCAATGAATGAACGAAAATTTTGATCAAGTGTTAAACCAGAATAGTTTCTTAGAATATTTTGATGATTCCACAAAAATCATTAAAAATATTTAAATCGCTATAACATGCATAGATTACGCATATTATTGATTTTCTTATTAACTTTGGAATAATCATCAACTCATTCTCATTTTCAACTTTCTCATTGTAAAATGGTAAGATTAAACATGATATTTGAATTTAACAAGCCAATTACCTTTAAACTGATGAACAATGTCAGCTGTACAAACAATTAACATTTTTTTAAATTGTAAGTTGTGAATTAGCATTGTGACTAATTTTGAACTAATCAAAATTTATGGTGAAGCGAGTATTTTGTTACATTTTTGTTTTTATATGTAGATGGAATGACTATTATAACAAATATCCTGACTGATAACCCTGACTGAACGAATAGTTAATAATTTGACTGATTTGAGGTTCAATAATAATTTGTTTTGTGACTAATTGTTCTCTGGATAACATTTTGATTCATATATAAACGATGCTTTTATGGATTGTTGAAAATAATATACAAGTATATAACCTATTTATTTGCAACAAATATAACGAATATAATAATGATCAACGCGACATATAGTCAATATGTCGGTTGAATATATTCCAAACTAATTCTTGTGCTTGTCTTATTGCAATCTAATAATAAAAACATTCTAATACATTCATCTGATAACGCTCGTGTAGTTTTACCAAATTATTCTTGTTCTTAGTTTGATTTGCCATTGTTGATTATATGATAAATTTGATACATTTATGTTTGTATAAGCGTGTGAAGATGATACATTTTATTTATTCTAATAGGCATTTGATCAGATATACAATGGTATAAATACTCGGAATTTGAATGAAACGTAATCAGTTAATGCCTGTAATCAACAGTACATCATTTCACAGTTTGTGCCTCTCTAGTTACGCCTTTAATACAGTAAAATGGATTTAAATCCAATATCCTCAATAAAAGTCCTACTCTCATTGGCTATAGCCAAGTTTGTTCGAAGTGACGATGAAAACTCATCTATTGAGGATAATGTTTTTGCGCGACATATCTTCGACCAATATGTGGCGAAAACGGAAATGAGATTAGAAATCAAGGAAGAGATTGGATGAATGTACGATGACGACTACGACAGTGATGTTGGAGATGAAGAAATCGAGGAAAGTGGTCAACCTCAGCCAATCGAAGATGAAGATGACAGTGATGACCAAGCGGAAGGCGCAAACAGCGGAGAATTACCAGAACGAATGGAACAAAGTGACACTTCACCAAAAAGTTCACCAAGACATCGCTTTCTAGCAGATTTATCGATTTCTGCTTCAACAATAGGGAAAATCAACGATTATATTGCCTCTGGTTATTCTTATTCCCAAGCAGCTCGGTGTTTCCTAAGACCCATTCATAAAATCAGGAAACTTGTTGAACTCACCGATAAAGGTGGTTCAACTACTTCAAAACTTCGACAAATCAATGATTATTGTAAAATAAAATTCTATTAATTCCGCTCTAATGGAGCGATAAATCATTATTAGAAAATTCAGGCTTGGGCTAGGGACAAAGCTGTTGCTTTAAATTATCCAAATTTCAAAGCTTCTTTGAGTTTCATCTCGCGATTTAAAAGAAGCAACAGAATCGTCGGCAGAAAAATGACGCGTTTTGTGACGAGAAGTGAGATTGAAGGCGAAGATGCTATTCTCGAAACAGCTAGGCAATTCGTGAACAGTGTTACTAGTCTTGAACAATCAGCTGAAATAGATGAAGATTTAGTATTCAATACAGACCAATCGAAGGTGGAATATGAGATGGTCTCGAATCGGAGTCTATCAAATGAAGGAGAAAAAATAACAATGGCACGAGTCCAAAGTTTGTCAGCCATGACTCACTCATACACTATTCAACTATTGGTAACAAAGTCTGGTTTGGTTAGCCCTAAAATCTATATTTGCTTCCAGGAGCCTAACGGAAGATTCGGGCCAAGAGTGGAGCAATCTGTCGATGCAGCAATGAGGATCTATTCATCAGTATATGCTGATGCGAGAGAGCGGTAAAATGGAGAGAAAAAATCTCATCAACTTTGCTAGATTTGTTCTAAATCCAACTCTTGGAGAAACTAATATTCTTTTACAGGATTTTGGACAACGGAATTAGAGTATTTTCGTTGACAATTGCCCTGGCAAAACAATTCAAATCATGACAATACCATCAAAAACGACAAAATATATTCAGCCACTTGATGTCTACTCTTTTAGACAAATGAAAATTTTACTGCGAAGGATAACTGATTGCGCTAGGGTAGCTCTCCAACAACCTCAGCTGGAAGTAAAACTTCGATCCAGAGATTTCATCATAAAGATTATCGCGATCACTCACAACCAGCTATCTGCACCAGTATTCAAACCAATGATAAAATACGCTTGGCAAAAATCAGGATATGAAATGGAAGATGAGATCGAAGGATTTGAGAATGTTAATCAAATCTGCTTTGCCAATTTTGATGAAACCTGTGAAGCTCCTGATTGCGAAGCAATCAATTTTATTTTTTGTGCTCACTGTTCATTTCCGTTTTGTTTCACCCATTTTATTTTAAATCCTCATTATCATCAAAGAACTGAATGAGTTGGAATAATAAATCAAAATGCTAATGAATTGTGATTTATTGAATAAATTTCAAAGTTAATGAGAAAATAAATAATATGCGTAATCTATGCATTATATAGCGATTTAAATATTTTTAATGATTTTTACAGGTCAAAATAAATAAAAATTAAAAAAAAATTGTGGAAAACTTTCAATTTTTCATCAGGAAACGGTTTTTAACCTCAATTTTCTCGTGACCCGAAAGTTTCCTATTCAAAGCCGACAAACCCTTATTCTAGTTTTTTATGCTCTATCGAATGAACATAGTCCCGATCGGAAATTATTGAGACACCGGAGACACTTCCCTTGTGAGTCAAATAAATGCACGTATATTGCATGATAGAAGCATAATGAAGCAAGCATTTTCCAATAGCAACTGCAAAGAGAAGATCATAGTTATGAATATTTAAATAAGGCGTCAGTATCTTGAGATCAGTTCATTTTTTATTCGAACTTGGTTTTAGCAAATACCTATTAACAACTCGATCTAATTTGAACATTTTATACAAAACTACTTGTAGTATTCATTGAATGCACAAATCTCCCAAAATAAATCACTAAATCAACACGAAAGTGGTTGTTGACTCAAAAGTGTGACAAAAGAGATTATCCAAACTTTTCCTTAATTTTAAAAATGTTGAATTTTCATGATGATTCTGATTTACTAGACTGAGTGTCATGATTTTGATATGGTAAGACCCTCAATCTTGCAGATACTTTTATGAAGTTGCTTACTTACATTTATGCAAGTAACTGGTTTGAATATACCAAAATCGCCAATGTGCGCACCGATAAATTTACTATCAAGTCTGTCCAATATTTCCATCGCCTGATCAATAAATGAAATTTAAAACCAATTATGTTAAATGAAACTGGAAAAAGTTGAGTATTCATTTTGTTTCAGAATAAAGTTTGAATGATTAGAATAATTTTTATATCAATGATCCCTCATTTTCATCCATTACTTACTTTTAGTTTAACTTCCTGTTTATGGTTTTTGGTTTTTGACATTAGTTGGCAATAATATTTGTAGACCTTGATAGACTTGAGAAAGATTTTCAGCATAAATGCTCGCAAATCGCAAATTGAACTTACCTCTTGATAGAAGAAACCGCCTAAATAGCAGGAAATGAATATTGCCGTATGTGACACAATGCCACCAATAGTCAAGATTCTTGTTATAGCGTCAGGTTCAAAATCAAAAATAAAACCAAAAAAACAGGCAAAGTTGCCAAAAGCAGAGACAGAGAAGATAGCATATTGAAACAGATATTTCGTTTCATTATTAAATTGACTAAAATCATTCAAAAAACCTATCATTTCATAATTCATTTGAGAAAATTTTGAGCACCTTAATGTTCTATTCATAATGAGTTTCTTGCAATAATCAGTTAGTGTATTGGAACGTCCAATAAAAAAAACTACTAAAAGTATAATATAAATAAATGAAAACATAGCACTGTTTGCCAGTACAAATAAAGCAATGAATTCAAAAGGCATGAAAATAACATCGAACGCATAATGCTGTAAAGTTAAACCCTCTTGTGGCTGAGAAGTACGCAGATAAATGATACCGAATATTATGATGATTGTAAACAGGGTTATTATTCTTATGCCATTCACTGCTACGAAATGTAACCATTTGTGAAATTGTTTACATCGAAGATGATTCATCTTTAATGATGCTGCATTGAAACCGGTTCTTTCTAATTTGATCATCATTCTAATTATTTTCATTCGACCCGTTTCTTCAAGTCGTAACATGTACTCACGAAGAACAAAATAAATAGCACTTAAAAAAATTACGGTCAATAGCATAGTATTCTTCTTGGCACCTTTAATTCCATTGAAAGGATTAGCCAAATATAAGTCAGAATAATAATTGTCATAAAAGATGAATAGATTTAAACGTACAATCAAGATTACAATAAAGAATCGAAAGAACCAATTTCGAAAGTGAGCTTCCAATTTAATCGAGATATTCAAGGTTTGTCGCAGTCCATTTCGACGACTTACCACTGCACGAAATAGTTTGTCCCACAAATGAATAGCTTTAGTCGTACTAATTTTAGATTCATTTTGTAGACCGATTAGTTTCGACAGATTTTTATTTATTTTATCGACAGAACAGCTTTGCATCATGGCAAAAATTGCAGCCTCAACATAACAGAAAATTTTAGCTGAAAGTCTGAAAGCTATTGATTTTAAATGAATTTCAAATATTGTCATATAATAATTATCAACACTTGATTCGTCTCAAAAACAACATCTTGATTGTGTAAATGATAAATTTAATATTGAAACCAACTATTATATATCTTTCTATTGATTTTATTGATGGTCGTATAAAACTTGGATGTAAATATCGAGTTAAAATCAGATCAATATTTACAAAAATATCGATATTTCGAATAGAAATCAGTACTGTCAGTAAAAAATACCATTTCTCTATAATCGAAAAGTGTTAACTACGAAAAGCATCATCGATCAAATGAATCGTTGATCAACCTTGATTATCTTGCAACGCTAATTATAGTAACTATTACACACTATTAATATACACAAAGTAACGGTAATACGCAATCTAACACAATATCAATCTGCAGTATATCTGTTAAAAAATCAAGTGAGGTAAAGTACTTCATTCCCTGAAGACTATCTAAATAATCTATTAATAGATATGTATCAAAATATTTTGATAATTCAATTATCGGTTATTCCAAGCCAAACTGAGTCAAATAAATGCACGGGCATTGCATGATAGAAGCATAATGAAGCTTGCATTTTCCAATAGCAACTGCAAAGAAAAGATCAAAGTAATGATTAAAAACGTTGAATTTTGATTAAGATAAGCATAAGAGTAACATGCGAGTCAGTTCAGTTTTTTACTTTAAGCGGGTTTCAGCAATTTTCTGTTGAATCGTTTGATACACTGCTGGCAATAAGTTTGAAGACGGTAGTTTTTTTGAATAATTTTTCTGTGAAATGATTGCTTGTTTACTGGTTAGTATCAATTGAAAGTCGATGCAAAATTACGTATTTTAAGTTAAAAAAATTAGGGAAAAAAATAAATTAGATAAGAAAATTTGAGAAAATTAGTTTTGCGCATGGCAAAAATTATGAGGACAGAAATTAAAAACAATTAATAATCGATTTGCGATCCATTAGCCTTGTATATTAATAAAACTATTCATTTTATGTGCGAAAGCTTTCACTAAAAATAACTTGATTGAATGAGAAACATTAAAGTAATAGTTGCATCAAAGTGCGCCAGTATCGAAACATCATTTCATGTTTTTCTTTATTTTAATAACATTGAATTGTATAAAAATTCTGATTTGCGTAACCGACGAGGGCTTCAAAGTGTTATATTATTATTTTTATATTGTAATATTCCCTCAATCTTGTAGCTACTCCAATGAAATCTACATTTCAACTTACATTGATGCAAGTAGATCGTTTAATAATACCAAAATCGCCAATGTGACCTCCGATGAATTCACTATCAAGTCTGTCCAGAATTTCCATAGTCTGGTCAGTAGAAGGAAATTAAAGACCATTTATGTTCAATAAAAGTGGATAGAGTTGAATAATCATCATGAGCATTATTTTTGTTTGTAAGTAAACGTTTGACTTTGTGTAGTTTTCATGCAATCAACAATATACCGAGTGTGGCATAAGTCAGGTACAGCATATTTTCGCGAATAACTTTTGAACCGATAAAGATATGTCAAAACGGTTTTTTTTCATTGTAATCAGTGCTTCTTCGGTTGTTATTAGACTATATGCTCAAAGTGCCAACCTTTACTAGCTATCGTTCTGACACGAAAAATGCAAAAAATTGCCGCAAAATGAAAAATTCGAGAATCGAAGTTTTTCTTCCTACGCCTTTATGGATTCGTTGCAAGGGTGTTATGAACCTTCGTGGCACTTGGCCAGTTCCGTTTAGTGGCTTTGATGTCTTCTTTGTAGATAACCTGTGCGGAAGTATTTCTAGACAAATTTTCATGATAACTAGAAACTATTAATATAGTGCTGGACAAAAATTTTCGTACACTAGTTTTTTTTTATTTTTAGTGAATATTATTGCTTTATTTAACCTTGTGGCCGTAATTATCTAATAATTAGGAGTTGATTTAAGTTGATCATCAAAAAAAAGTTTGATAAGTGCTCAAGTTACGATTTTACTCATTTCTGTCGCAAATTTGCTGGCCATAATTTTTCGTACATTGGACTTTTTGACGATTATCTTTATAACTGTACCACGTAAGTAATTTTTCAAGATATATTACCAACATACTAACATTCTGATACTTTTACATCGATACAGTATGCACTCAAAAGAGTTGATATCTTTAGTTCGTACAGAGTACGAAGAAACCAAGAATCTGAGAGGAACTGCGAGGAAATTCAAATTAACACCGAGCACAGTCCAATATATGATTGCAAATAATTATGAAAAGTCAAAGAAAGATGTTGGTCGTCCAAAAATACTAGGAGCAAGGGATGTGAACAAAATCAAACGAGAAGTTAACAGGCTGAAAGGTAAAGGTGAAAAGGTAAATGCCACAAAAGTGAAGTCAAATTGTAACTTAGGATGCTCAAACAGGACAGTCAGAAGGTCATTGTCATCGTTAGGTTTGAGATACAAAAAGAAACCAAAAAGGATACAGCTCAAACAACAGCATAAAGATGATAGAGTCTCAATGGCCAAGAAGTGGCTTTCTGATTGTTTCGACTGGAAGAGGACGATTTTCACTGATGAAAAGAAATTTAATCTTGACGGACCAGATTCCTGGATGAGTTGGATGAGTGAAGATGATGATTCAGATAGAGAAATGCGTCAGATGGGCGGTGGCTCAGTCATGGTTTGGGCAATGTTGTTGCCGAATGGAATTGTTCATGTTTTCCGAATGATTGGTAGGATCAATGGTCAATACTACACTGACTTTCTTGAAACTAATGCTCTGCCTATCTGGCGAAAACATTTTGGAAGAAGGCGATACTATTTTCAACAGGATAACGCAAGCATACATACCTGTAAACATTCAATGGACTGGCTGTCTTCGCATGTACCCGCTTTATTGAGTTGGCGATCTAAGTCACCTGACTTGAAACCAGTCGAAAATGTTTGGAAGATGCTTGTTGACATAGTTTATGATCGTCCTCCTTACCAAAACACCGATGATTTGTGGGAAGGCATCAAAGATGCAACAAAAAAGCTCAATCAAGAAAAAAATGAAACCACATCTTCTTTAGTTTCAGGAATGAACTCAAGACTTGTCAAAGTGATTGAACTAAAGGGGGAAATCATAAATTCCACCAAAATTTCCAATCAGAAATCAAAAAGATAGTGATATGTCTATTGTACGAAAAATATTGTCCAATAATCTTTCACGATATTTTGTTACTTTGTTTATATTTTTTTGTTGAGTTTTTTGTCAAAATTTTTTTGTTATTTTTTTCAAATTTTATACCTCAAGAAACCATTTGTTCAAGTCAAAAAGTCATTTAGCATTATATTAAATTCAAATTAGTTAAATTTAGAGGTGTACGAAAAATTTTGTCCAGCACCATACTACAAAACTCAACCGACGGCTCCAGAAAAATACCTAAAAAATTTGGTGGCGATAACTATCACAGTTACTGAGAAAAGGCGAAAAATATGCTGTACCTGACTTATGCCACACCCGGTACTTTTTATCGGCACTTACTTTTAGTTTAACTTCATATTTTTGGAATTTAGTTTTTAACATGAGACTGCAATAATATTTGTGAATCTCGATAGACTTGAAGTAAAGATAAAGATTTTCAGTGTAAATGATCCAATCGAAAGTTGAACTTACCTCTTGGTAGAAGAAAGCGCCCAAATAGCAGCAAATGAATATTAAAATGTGTGATAGAAAGCCGCAAATAGCCATTATCCTTGTTGTGGCATCAGGCTCGAACTCAAAAATGCAACCAAAAAAACAGGCAAAGTTGCCAAAAGCAGAGACAGAGAAGATCGTATATTGAAATAAATACTTGAATTCATCATCAAATTGACTAAAATCGTTCAAAAATTCTATTAGTTTGTAATTCAATTGAGATAATTTTGAGCAATTTACTGATCTATTTATATGAAGTTTTTCACAATAATCAGTTAGTGTATTGGAACGTCCAATAAAAAAAACTACTAAAAGCATAATATAAATGTATGTAGCCACCGCATTGTTTGCCATCACAAATAAAGCAATAAGTTCAAGAGTTATGAAAATTATATCAAACGTGTAATGCTGTAAGGTTGAATACTCTTGTGGCCGAGAAGTATGCAGATAAATGATAGCAAATAATATGATCATTGTTGTCAAGAATATAATTCGCATGCCATTGACTAATACAAAATGAGTCCATTTGTGAAATAGTTTGAATTGAAGTTTATTCATCTTGAATGATTCTGCATTGAAACTTTTGCTTTCCAGTTCGAGTAGCACTCTGATTCTTTTCATGCGACCAGTTTCTTCAAGTCGTAAAATATATTCACGAAGAACTAAACAAATAGCGGTTAAAAAAACCATGAAAATCAGCATGATACTTTTCTTGGCCCCTTTGCTTCCACTGAGAAGATTGGCCAAATACAAGTCAGTATAATAATTGTCAACACAGATGAATACAATCAAACGAACAATCAAGATTGCAATGAGAAATCGTATAAACCAATTTTGAATATGAACTTTCAGTTTAATTGGCATATCCAAGGTTTGTCGCAGCCCATTTCGACGACTCACGACAACTTGAAATAGTTTGTCATACAAATGAATAACTTTAATTGTTTCACTTTTAAAATCATTTCGTAGGCCGATCTGCCTTAACAGATTTTTATTCATTTTATCTATTGAAAAGGTACGCATCGCGGCAACAATTGCACCTCTCATCATAACTTTGCTATTTTCAAAAAATTGCTATTAATACGTTGCCTTCGTGGAGATTGCAAGTATTTGATATTTATCAAACTATAATAGTAATATTGTAATATATTATAATAATTGTCAACACTCGATTCGTCTCAAAGTCAACTAATTAATTATGTAAATGATAGAATGCTAAATATTCGAACCATCTTTTATTGATTGTATTTATAATGGTAAACTGCTAAGTTACTATTCAGTGAAGATTAGGTCAATATTTACAGTGATCACTAGAGGTGTTCCGATATGAACGATTGAAAAGGATCGATATTCAGAGAGTAAAATAGATAGATTAATTTTTAGGAGATCAATCATATCGATTCATCTTCTGCTTTATATCACGAGCTTGACTAAGATTGTATTTTTATAAAAAATGGTAAAGAGAAAGATAAATATCATAAAGATCTTCATTTGTAATTCGCAACTACACTAACACCAGCACCCAATTCGATCAATAAATGCATAGGGGCTGTTTTTTAAAGATTTAGGGATAGTATATCCGAACACCTAGTACAAGGTGTTAGAAAACGTACGTATTACACATCTACAAAACTTTGATTTTGTAGTAAGGTATTGAATTTATTAAAAAAACAGGGGTTAATTGTTGAGCTGAGAATGCGTATGGTCAAGTTATCCTTGAATGATGAATAGATCAATTTATTAGATAAATTAACGCCGAAGCCACCAATGATGGTGTTTTTCAAGATATGTCATAGGCCAAGCTTGTTGATTGTAGTAAACATAAAATGAAGGGAAATGTCTGATTTTATTTTGTTTGTAATCATCATTCCAAGATTCTATTCCATACAGTCTTGCTTTATTCAGATATGAAGTCGAAAATACATCTGACCCAAGAGTTGAGTTGCGCTTTTGTTTCATGTTCCCTGCCCTTGTGCCTTTCAATCTGAGAAACTTGATTCCCAAGAAACCAGTCAATTGAGGAATTGAATATACTATTGAAAAACCAAGCCAAGTCCCAAGAATACTTCCAATGGCAATGATGACATCAAGTTTTGTCAATCTGGATTCAAGCTCCACAATATAAATAGGATCGGAAACTTGTTCAACCGTGACTTCAGTATAATTACTCATAATGGGTAAAGGAGTACGACTTGAAGGAATGTAAACAACTGAAAGACAATTGGGTTGCTTGGTTATTTTACTACAATGGTCAACAATGTCAGATACCAATTGTAGAAAAGATGAATTTGCTCGGTTGTGTTCATATACAGGTACACCAAAATGTGCATCTAGTGGACTACCAATCAAATTTTCAGGCAGAGGAGAGCCGATTTGCTTCATACTTAAATCGATTTCACAGGCATCTGCCATTTCAGTGTTGGTAAGGAAACCTTTCTCAGTGTAATTTACACAATTGGTTTTGTAAGGTGCTGGCAATAGACGAGTTTCAATTGAAGAGAAGAAAAATGTGTGTCTTTTTGTGTTTTTGTAAGCCGCTTGAGCTTCCCATTTAACTTGTTGGCCTCTTGGAAGTGTCCCAACGGCCGTTAGACCTATCCAGTAGTAATTTATCGTATTGAAGAAGGGTTGGTGAAGTGATAGAGTGAAAATTTGACGATTGTTCAGCCTTTTATATTGTTCAATAAGTCCATACAGATGAGACTGTTTTGATTGAACATCTGAACAGCTAAATGAATAACAATAGGCTTGTTCAATGAAGAATTCCTTGAATGGGCAACTTTCTTCAATTATGTCCAATTCATCTACTCTATATGTAACTGCTTTCATGAAAACACTTTTTGAGGAAATCATTTGAGTCCAAATCTGGTTAATCTTTAGTCTCTCCATGAAAAATAAAAGCAAATCATTCTCCGAATACTCGCCACGAATAGATTTAACAATATCAGCAGTAATACTTGTTCCGCGCGGAAACCCAATATCCTGAAGTAAGAAGGGATAATTTGAAAATAGCTTGGTATAGTTGATCATATCGATGATGGCAAAACATATAGAGACATCAGGAAGCAAAGTTGCTTCAGGTACACCAACAAAGGCTTTAGTTAAATACTCATAGGCAAAGAAACGCTGGAAAAGATCAAGCATTTGAATGGCTGCTCCAATGAAACAAATAACAAAAATTAACTCTTTATCATACAGCTTGAACCGTTGGATGATATTGAAACACATTGGTCAACAAGCTATGTTCACCAATAGTCACTGGACTCAAATTGCATAATGAAAAGACAGTAACAGTTCAATTGCCTGAATGTGAAATTTCTGGTTGCACAACTATTCAGGACCGTAACATGTTGCACTACTTTTATCGATTCTGAAAACTGATGTTTTTCAAATTATAAGTTCCAACTTCATCAAAATATTCATCGATTATCAATATTTCTTTGACCACCCAAGAGAAATAATTGAAGTTTCGATGATGTTACATTGTTTTACTGTAACACACAAATTATTGACTTACTTTGGAGTGATTCATTACCAGGATCGAATTTTTATGCATTTCGCGTTTCTTTGCCATCAACTTGTTTTTGCAACTATCAATAATGATTTAAAGATTTGTTTAATTAATGAAAAATAAATGGGAAATTTAATACGAAATCTTTGAAAGAAAAATGAAACAGTAGACAGTTTGAAATATGAATATCGAAAATAGTAAACAAAATTGAAAAAGTACAGAAAGCATATTTACTTTGAATGGATTCAAGTTCATAATGATAAATTAAATTGATTTCTTGAGCTTTTCATTGGCTGGTTAATGATATGTAATGGTTCTGCTGTTACAAATTTGTCTTACTTTAGACGCCCATCAAATATGGGAGATTAACAAATTTTTTGACAAAACAGTGCCGCATGAAATCAAATTCTTTGACGATATAATCGTTGTCACGGGATATATGAGGTAGATCCACTGCCATCTGTTTACCGTTTGCGTTGCAATACAAGCGGATTGTACGATCATGTTTTTCAGCCAGCTGTTGGACAAAGTTGAGGGATTTTCGAGTTATCCCATCCGATCCTCTAAAATCCAGCAACTCCAAATTAGGCATTAGCTCAACCAACTCCTCAACATGGTGATCAAAGATTCGGAAATTTTCGCGCAAAGCCAAGTGTTTTAGGTTGGGATATCGCATTAATAAAGTCCTCAATGAGTTCCATTCTTGTTCACATCCAGATTTCTGTAAAAATCAAATAAAACTAATTATTTCAGCAGCCGTAATTTTTGGCAAATTAAATGCTTTTAACGAGGTATCTACTCACATAGATGAGAACAAGATCACGCATATTGTAATTAACAGTTGATCGGGATACGATATGTTTGTTTGATTTTATCCACAAATAGGCACTTTCCAATGCAGGGCAAAAGTTCATAAATTCAAATCCATAATATTCATCGCATCCATCCTCTGAAGTAAGGCCCAGTTCCAGGATTTTAAGCTTCTCAAGCTTAGGTCCATTATACATACCCTCTGACCGACCTAATATAATAATCAATAAAATACAATTTTGAATGAATAGAGAAAATGTGACAAATAGAAATTATCAAAACAAAATGGAACTTACCATCATCATTGTAAATATTGAGTCTCTTTAGATTGGGGAAATATTTAGCATCATAACGGAAAGCATCCAGTCGGTGGCCCATCAGATGAAGTTGCTTTATTTTACGGCCAGGTCCATATCTAAGTAAACATGGGCTTAGATAATCAGTGGCAAGCATCTCGAGGTTTTTGCAGCGATCGATCACTTCTCCAGAGAAAAGCCAGCTTATATTTATTAAACCCTTCAATTTTCGAGCATCGGCCAAAAATTTACAAAGCGTCTTCTTTTTCAATTTCAACTGAAGTGGTTCGCAAATGCTGAAAACCTTTTATCATGGATAAAATGGATATTATTAGAATAATCGAATAGTTGAAAATATTTTCATTTTAAGTGACTAACCTTGACGTTTGGGAACAAACTAGCCAAATCAGTTTCTTTCAGTTCATTATTTTTGTAAAAATAAATTGTATCCAATGAAAGCTTTGGTTTGATACCAAAAAAGTTATTGAAGTCTGGAGAGAAGGGAGAAAAAGAAGAATTGTCAATACAGTTTAGAATATTTAAATGTTTCAAAAACTCACCAAAATAGTATAAATATTTGACATGGACGAGTCGGTGATGGTAAATGAGCTGCTTCCATCTCAAATTAACTGAAACAAAACAAGAAAACAGATTATTAGATTCATAAATTTTAAAATACCAATCACTTCAACCAATTCAATCAGCTGTTTCGAATCCAGCTCCAGATTTAAATGAGAATTACATTTTAGAATCTACAAAATTCTAATGAACGAAGACGATTAATAAACGATGCACTCAATAAACATAGAACTTTGTCGCTAATAGAAACTGGTAACCAATCACTGGTCACTGGTTTGTTGAGCAAGATAGACTAATTATGGTTACTGTAATCGATGACTAAAACCGTGAGCTTAGAGTCAAGATGTCTAGAGCTGCGTGCTTTTAAACACTGGCACTTTTGTAGTCCTCTTGGTGATTCCATTACAGCGTTCTTTTGAAGTTGACAAACAATTATTCCCTTTCAAAGGCGTTGAAATTTTTAACCACAAAGTAACTGGTTCCACGTAACTGGGAAGAAGCAATCGCCGTTACTGCTGAGAGACTAGCAAGAAAGCTCGTGGAGAGGGAAAACCTTCGCTCTAAACATTCCCGCGGGCCAAGTCCACTCATTGCACCAATTTACTCATCACCTGTATGCTAACCAAACTAGTGAGCAGCTTCGAAGCAACAGCCATCTACTGTTGAAAGTTCAATTTAGACTGAGCAGCCTTGCATAAAGATTCAATTCACGATTTAAAACAAACACAGAAATTAAGAGTTCAACTAACTCAATCTGTTTCTAACAATAATTACTCGGAAAGAGATAGAAATTTTCTTGCTGGCAGATTAACAAATTCAATTTGAAATTGATTCAGCAACAATTGTAGAGTTTGATTTCGAGACAAATTAATTAACCAACAGTTGATGGTTGCAACAAGATCCTGAATTTAAACTAGCTACTCATGTTAATTAGAATCAGATTTCCCAAAGAAATTAAATTTCAAAATTAAAAAGCAAATTAATCATGGACGCTTGTTAATTACTAATTTAGAGTCAAAGGTATTGAAAATGGTTAATATATGAGAGAAAAATAAATATAAATTTACTTACTTGAATAACAATTGAGAACATCATCCAACTCGTGAAGATTTTGAAAGATTAATATCAAACAATCGTCAGGTAACTTGTCAATTGACATGATTGAAGTTAGACTTGGTCTTGTAGAACAAAAAAACTAAATGAAAAAAACAGTAAATTAAATGAAAAAAGAAAGTTGAAAATTTAAATTGAATAAAGACACTTGGATAAACAAGGAAACAGAATTGAAGAGAAGAAATTAAAGTGGAGAAAAAAAAGAGCAGAAAAAAGGACAAAATTAGTGACGATGAGTGAATTTTAAATGCCAAGGCAAAGGTTGGATATTTTGTGTTTAGCAGACCAACAGATTGGAATGTAACCTCAACAGCATAAACAAGTTCCCAGGGTGAAAATGATATATCGATGTGAAAATTTTAAAAATATGTTTAATAATAGCATTAACTGATTGGCTGTCCAATGCCTTGGCAAGTTTGTGGGTCTAGTTTTTCAACATCTATCATACCTTTCCTTTTATCAAACAATACCGAGTTTGCAAGTTAACGTTTTTCTTCAACCGGGCTACTCAATTTTCAGTTTACATGATTTATGTTTAGATTTGAATTCTATTTTAAGCAAATTTCTTACAATTTATTTACCATTATCGACTTCTCCATGTCAAATATTTGAACTACGGGCGATTCAGCTAATAAGAACGATGTTAAACACAAACAACTTTGCAACCAGGAGAGTTGTCAACTCATGTATCGAGACTCTAGTTTCAGGTCATTAAAGGTCACTCTATTCATTGACCTCTAATTGACATTTGAAGGTCATTTTCTGAGATTGGAAATTTGTTGTTACTGTTGGTACCGTATCCATATTCGCTTCCGCTCGAAAGTTGAAGGAATTTTTTTGTCTAAACGTTGACTTATCTGGATTGTGAAGAAGCTCTGCTATTTTTGCAACAGTACAGAGTGTAAATAAAGTTCGTGTAGGTAGGAGGGTTTAAGCGATGGAATAATTTTCTCAAGCGAGAAATGAAAACAATTTGAAATTGATCTCTACGCAGAGGAAAATATTTTTTGCCTCCTTCACGAACTTTAGTTACACCCAATAGATTTTGAAGATTTGTTGCGCCATCTGGCGATGAAAATTTTCGATTTCAAAATATGACCTACAAATGTTGATTAGAGGTCAAAGATTAAAGTTAACTTTAATAACCTTGATACTTAAACAGCGAAAATGATTGTCTTCCAATTCGAAGTACGATTTGCTAAGCATTTTGACTGTAAACTCTACTTACTTCTTTGGGATCGGCTTTTGCCACCACATCCACTAGTGTTTCACGATATTAAAAAGGTATTGTTAATTGTAAAGAATCGGTATCAATCATAGAGGTATCGAGTATTATCGACAAAGTATCGATACTTTTAATCAGGGAAACACTAACATCCACCACTTTTCTGCTCCACTTTTAGAGTGGCTTTTTTCCACCACATTTTCAATATCTTTTTCAATCACTTGTTTCACCATATTGTTTACCCCCAAATCAAACATATCTACTATTCATCAACATCATTTTTATCATACCCGAAAAGTGGTGAATAATTTGGTGGATTTGTGTGGTGGAAAATCTTATGAAAAAATTGCCTTAGTTGCCCGTATTATAGTCCTGGGCTTAAAAGTGCATGATTCTCATCTTGTAGTTCATAGCTGCTCGTTCGTGGAGCCCATGGGCTAATATTGAGATGCTAACTTTTGCACATTTGTCCGCTTTTAAGGATCATTTCTCCACAGTTATGCCTAACAAAATGTAAACAATTTAGTTCGTCGTCTTTTGAGTAGCAAAAACGGTAGGAGGTTCGAAAAGCGCCATTTATTGTCTATCGCTATGCATAGATCAATGTGAAACCAATCACATTAATAATATAAACCCATTGCGATTTTTATTGACTTTACTTTGCCTCGAAATTTTTTTTGCAATGAATCAAATAAAAATTCAATAAAACCGTGTCATTAATTTACTACTACTACAACTACTGTAGCTTAATTATTAGGTGCATTTAAATTTCACAGCAACGTATCGTTAGATCTATCATAGTCCGTCTGCCGAAACAGATGAATCCGTATTTTATACAATGAAAAACTATCCATCAATTATTATTGGTCAAGTGCCATTTGGATGGATAAATGGCGGGCACAAACAATATGGTCATTGTCATTTACATATTTGCTCTACACCATTCAGTCTGTCCTCAATGATGCTTCATTTCTACCCGAATCAATGGACAATTTTTTATTGATTCCAGAAAACATGAGTTTTACCTCAGTAATGGGCAGTGAAAACTGCGCTTTTATAAACCTTTATACAGATAGATCAGTAAAATCAAAGTATCCAGGAATATTGACCAGTTTGCAAGTAATTGAACTCAATGTTTATATTCTAGTTCTGACTGGTGCTGAAGAATGATGAGTGTAGGTGCTGCCATTATCTAAATATTGAGACTCAAAGTTTTAAATCTAATGACCCCAATCAATCAAACTGTCGATAAGTTGAAAAAAAGTAGACTGCATTAGTCAAGCTTTGCTTATTAATTCTGCCATATGTTATCATTGATATGCTGAGTTTTATGTGGCAATCTTATCGTAATCGTAAGTAGGAATCGGAACTAAAACTTTTCATTCGATTTCGTGAACTGACGTTGAAGGCATTTTTTAGCACTAATCGCCGTTATTTATGTCACTACAGACAAAAAACCAGAACCCTTGCATCGCAAGTCCAACTTTCGAGATAATTATAAATAGCCTTAAGTCAACTCACTGTTTTTTTCACTCGTGACCTATAAAAATTATAAAATAATATCATAATGGCTGAAATACGAAAATAAAAAGAGAGCATTGCCTTAATTAAACAATTTTATTTTTTCGAGACTTAAGCATAGCAAATACAGGTTTGCCCAGCAGAATTAGTGTAGCGATTAGCATATGATGAAGCTGCTGAACCTGAACCAGATGATCCTGAACCTGATGAACCAGATCCTTGTCCTGATAAACCTGAGCCAGATGATCCTGAACCTGAAGCTGCTGCTGCTCCTGATGAAGCTGCTGCTGATGATCCTGAACCTGATCCTGATGATGCTGAGTTAGGTGAGTTACTGGTTGATGTTGTTGTTGTTGTTGTTTTTGTTGGTCCTGATGATGAATCTGAAGCTGATGCTGCTGATGCTGCTGCTGCTGAACTTGAAGCTGCTGATGATGAGTCTGATCCAGTATTTGATGCTGGTGCAGGTGCAGATGATGAGTCTGAAGCTGCTGCTGCTGAACTTGATGCTGCTGATCCTGAAGCTGCTGATCCTGATGAACCTGAACCAGATGATCCTGAACCTGATGAACCAGATCCTTGTCCTGATGAACCTGAGCCAGATGATCCTGAACCTGAAGCTGCTGCTGCTCCTGATGAAGCTGCTGCTGATGATCCTGATGGCGGTGAGTTAGGTGAATGTCCATGCGACCCTGAGTTACCGGTTGTTGGTTTGTGGCCTGTTGATGAGTCTGAAGCTGCTGTCGCTGTTGCTGCAGATGAAGCCGATCCTGAGTTAGTTTTCTTGTGGCTACCAAAAAGATCTATTGGCATTTTCATTGCGATGTTTATGGGATTCCATCTCGACAAGCTGTTTGCATCAGCAACGTTAAACGCTGTTATTGCTACGATGCACAAAGTTAATAATTTTATATTCATGTTGTGTTGGTTTTTTGTTGATACTTCTTCAACTGATATCTTTAACGTTTTTTCTGAGGCTTTTTATACCAAGTCGTTTATGCTGATTTTGTTTTTCATGCTCCATCTGTTAAAATTTTAACTGTTTTAACAATTATTTACCCAGATTTAAGTCTCTCTGAATCGTAAACGTTGATAAATCTTTTGTTGGTTTAATGAATTAGACTAACTAGAGGTTAACTTTATCTAATATCCAAGGATATTAGAACCATGCATCTAGTAGATAGGATTGAAACTTTGATGAATAAATTGTTAGGATGTTTACAGAATAAAAATTAACATAGCTTTCTAGCAAGACGAAAGTCAATAAAAAGAACGTTGATACGGTGATAAACTCTTATTTTGCATATTTTTCTCTGTATCTATTATTATAATGTGCTTACAAATCCGCTTTAATCCATGAGTTCCTGTTTTTTCATATCATTTTTACTCGTTTGTGACTATGTTCTGCGCAATTTATGATATTGTTTGAAATTAAAATTGAATCAATTTTTATTGAGATATTATAAAACCATTCCAGTTTTAGTGCTTTGGAATTAGCATAAAAACCTACGCACCTGCGATAGATCATACAACATAAAGGTTTTATTCATTATTCAGGGTGAAATCGTCAATGTCATTTCGGTATGTAATGAGGTTTCTTCACAATGTTTTGTTCCACCTTCTTTTGAATGTCAGGTAGGTAGTTGTTTCAGTGTGTTTATGATCGCGCTGTTAAACGTCTAATTTAGTATTTAATTGTTTTCAAATGAGGTGTTTAATAGCAACAGAAATGTATGCACGTGGCTTGAAAGAAAAGCAAACATGTCTATGAGATGCTAATGATGAAAAACACCAAAATCAATTTAACCATACAACGAGGTAAAGGTGGCAAAGAAACGCATTTGACTATTTGCTAATAGTCTGAACCAGAAATGGCTCTTTCAAGCCAGTAGTGCTTTGATCTGCCAAAACTTTGAATATTTTTCCCTTCAACTTCTTATCAAACCACAAAATTCATTTATCACAATATTACCATATATAAGCTGGCCAAGCTCCGTGACTTTATCACTCGATTTACTACTGCATTTACTTGCTTATAACGCCTACAGAATGATTGTCCCCTTCAACAGCTCGTATCTCATCTAGATAGATCAACATCAAGATTTCTCATCAGATGCTACTGAATTACAGAGATATCAAATCTATATTAACAATTCATTAGTTAATCACGAATCTATTTTAGGCGTATTTTGCTACTCTATCAACAAAATTAACATAACGATGAGTAATTACAACTTGATTCATTTTTTCATCTTCCATCCAATGGAAAATATTTTAAATTCAATTTCAAGATGCGGACTCTTCAAATATTACTTGTGTTGCTCGAAATCCTTGATTATGCCCAATCAGGTAAGGTCAAATTATATACAAATCTATCCATAAAATCGTTTGAATAAAGTCACTTAAGTTAATCCATTCCCACTGGTGCAAATTATTTTCATTCAACAGCCTTTCCATGGCAAAATAATCTTTGCCAGTTGTCATGGCCATTTAATTTCACTTGTGTTTGTTTCTAATACCCAAAATTCATGAGAAATAAACTAATTCATTCTTAAAAATCAATTTCAGCTTCTTTTGATGATGTCGCACTGCAAATTGACCCTGGAAATTGGCTGATAGAGGCGACTTTGTATGATCAAGTAAGCATTTAAACATATAATATTCTTTCCGAGATTCAAAAATCATAGAAAATGGGGTTTTCCTGACCATGTTCATGACTTCGTTATGAGTAAAATGTACTTTAGAATAAGATAAAAGTCAAGCTATCAAATGTTCAAGTTAATGCTAACAAAATATGTTGTAAGTAAACAGAAAAGCGAATGAAGAACATTATTTTCGATTCTAAAACAACTATTTATGTAACAAAACAAGAGTAAAATTTACTTTATCCGATTCTATTTCCAATCGTGTAGTCAAATGATGAAAGGTATTCAATGAGAGAAATGATATATTCCAATTATTCAATTTCTGGAAAGCTTGCAATCACTTCTGATGCTGGTTCATTCGATATTTTTTATCATGATCGGCTACAAGAGTATCGTCTCGTTATTCATGGTAAGCAATCTCTTCAATCAATGTATCAATAAAATATGCCGTATAAGTCACATATGCATTATAATGCTTGATGGAACAGCATTTCGTTGCTTTGGACTTTTGTGAAAAAAATTGAGCTCGACAATTTGTCTATCTTTCAACAGATAATCGTTGTGACACTTTCACCTACAAAAGCAAATGGGATTCAAACTTGTCTGGCATCACAAATCCATTGCTCAATCGGATTCTTCTTGTTGGGCCGTCACTTATTCATAGACTGAACTGGGGAGGACATAGATGGGTAACCGATATTCCGATCATTTTATTCAGCTCATATGTTTAACTTTGTTTAAATGTATTTACTAACAGATAAGTGATTCTGATGTCCAGATAAGAGGAACAACAATGCATAGTGACTATGCAAATATGAACGGAAACAAGTTGCGGGTTACTCGTTACTTCAAAAGTGAATAACAATTTGGTTTACTTTTTGTGGTTTCATTAACCTTTTGATCTTTGTTACAGGTAAAGAAGCAATTCAACCTGATAGGATCGTTTTTTATGGCACTGATGTAACTGAATTTTCATCCAAAAAGCAGAGTTTCATCATGGATTTCACTTCGGTTACTAAGCTGGAAAATGAAGTATCTGGCCTTGTTACTGTGAGTTTCATTACTTTCTTCGCTCAATTTTCGATGCTTAAAATACAATATATATTTGATTCACAGGTCACTCCAGGAATCGGGTGTCGCTTTTATCTTGAATCGTCTAGTCCCATTCCAAATGTTCCTAGTAACCAGTTGCATTATCTTTTAGATGAAAATGTGAAAGGACCGAGACCTTCGTCAAAGAGAGAGGAGGTTAATCTGATTAAGGTCAACTCAATTCGAAATTAACACATTGTATTCATTCATTAGGTTTATGCCGATATCGAAGCCCAACTTTTGTATCGTAAAATGACGAGTCAAGGAAAAGAAGAAGAAACCATTTATGATTTTTCATTGGGAATTTCATATAAACTACTGGACAAAGGATATTGTACAATTGATCCAATGGCATCATCTGATCCAGG